ACTTACGGACACACGGACACACAGGCACATACATACATAGAATTACAGACATACAGACCCACACACACATGATCATGTAGACAGGCATATGTGTGAGCATGGATACATACACATAAGCGCACGGAGATGCACAGACACGCACGCACACACGGACGCGCGCGCACACATAGATTTGCAGACCGGACAGACAGACAGACACACACACACGCACACACACACACACACGCAACACACACACACACACACGCAACACACACGTACACTCAAAGCATACAACTCGTCTTTAACGTGTTTTGCAAGGTGCATGTAATACCCAAAATTTCCTATATATGAAATAATGAATAAATTCAAACAAAATTTGTTGATGAATTGATTTTTGGTTTTTATAAGATGCTATCTTATGTGATACGAGATTTCATTGATTTGTGGTATAGCAGTTTAACACCGGATCATCATTTTAAAGAAAGTTTAAAACGAAGTGCTAGGCGAACTGTCGCTGCTTTTTCTCAGTGGTATGATTTTTTTTTTCTCTCGTTATTATTCTTATATGCTATAACTGAAGTAAATTGATGTTTCATCGTATTTCTGGACAATTAATACGTCTAGTTGGATATTAGTCAATGATCATAAGTTAATTTTGCACTCGTTAGCATTGATGAGTTTATCACGAAGAGAACAAAAAGGCATTTTTAAATGCGATACGATTTTATAACCCTAACCTTTGCCATTTCAGTGTTCAAAAGGTGGATTTTGTGCCTCTCTTAACTCAGCATATTGTCGATGATATTGCTTCACATTTCCGTCTGTTTCGGAGAGCTAAGGTGAGCTTCAGTGACACTGGATGGAATGCTAAAATTAAATGATTTGTCGTTCCAGGCTATTCTCCGACATACTAAGAACATTAATTTTCTAAACCAGGTAATAAAACTTAAGCAAAAGCCACAAATTAAGCAGATTAAACATTTACTTGACTCCGAAAAGGTCTCAGGAACTGTGTCACTCATTATTACGTTGTGGACTTTGGCATCATTTCTGCCTCTTTGCATTTCTTCAAAGTCTTACTGTTGGAAAATTGAAAAATTAACGCGAATTCGTGAATTTAAAAAGACAAATCCTTTATAGGCCGTATTATACTTTCTTTGCAATTATATTTCCTTTGAGGAATATCCAGTTCTGAAACTTCTCTCTGTTTAATTTCAGGAACGTGCACAGCTTCATTACGGTAAAAATTACACAACGGATGAATTAGAAACGATGTTTTTTGATTTAGAACTAGAAATGGAGAAGTGTTATTGCAGGGATCTTGTTTCCACCTGTCCACATTATGAAAATGGTATGTGTTTATTCATTTTTCCAGTCACTGGTTTACGATTGATCTTAATGTTGGGGGAAATATTCTTCCTCTTCCTTTCTGAATGGACACTAACTTTGCAGCATATTTTCATGATGTTGCTGATATTCTGTTGTACCTTTTGACACCTGCTGAAGATTTCCGTTCTCGACCCTTTCGTTTTCTTGTTCGAGAAATATATATTAAGCGTATGATGCTACCCCTTTTCGATATGCTTAGTGATCCTGATTTCATTAACCACAGCATAATTTGGTTGGTAAGCTATTTTATTTTTCTTGAAAATTAAATTTCCAAATACTTTTCCTTCTTTATTGCACTAAGTGATCTGATAGCAACCACTAATCCGTTGCAGCTTAGTGAAACAAGTTTGAAATCAGAAGATTTCATCGCAACACTTGAAACTACTGACAGTATGAAGGAACTGGATGCAGTGCTGGATTCACTTCGTGAAGAAGCAGCACATCTGCGAACAAAAGATTCCGGTGGTGAACAAGGTTTCTGCTTTTCTTTTCTAATTTGAAGACATCAGTTAGAAATGGTGTGGTAGAAGAAAAGGAAGAAAAAATAACTAACAAAAGCTGCGGAGTTTGTTTGTACTTTTTTCTTGACTATCTCTCATGCATGCAGTTATGTGCAGTTTTTTCAAAATTTACTGCACTTGGCAAAGCATTCCTTCAGGCTTTTTGGTAAAACAGCAACTAGCCAGTATTGATTACGCAATAAATATTATAAAGCGACGAATGGATGCTCTAGAAACCTTCGAAGTTGAGAACGATTTGCGAGAGGTACTTTTCATCGCATTAAATAGTGTATTTACTCACAAAAATTTCATTTGAGCAGACTTACTGGACTTTACCTCTGAAGTATTGTGTGAAATAATGTAGGCGCAGTTCTATGCTAACTAACTGCGCGCTGCATTACTTGACACTATATTGATTTTATTCTTTTTTATTTTTAAAATTTAGTTTGATATTTACATTAATGACGTCAGTAAATGACCGAACAGAATTATAGGTAGCGACAAAGATACCATTAGGTAATTCATCTATTGTACAATTACCAATTCACGTTGTATTGTCAAATAACACGGCAGTTACATATTTCGCTGATTTTCTTGCGTCTGTTGGTGGACAAGCATTAATTGATTGTTATTTGGCTGTCGAGGTAAATTATTGTCATAAGATTATATAAGAGGTAATGAATCTCACTTAAATTTCTTTCTCGAGAAGAAAATAGCGACTTTGTGATTGCGATGATAGCAGAAACGCGGCGCTAGCGAAATTTTGCTGGTAGTTTGTTCAAATTTTTGCAGGGCTTTAAAATATCTGTGGAGCATCAGCTACGAGGACTTGCTGTGGGTGAAACTCTTGAAAGTGACGCCTACGAAACAGTCAAGGAAGCAGCCAGTTTCCTTTATCAACAATATATATCGCAGGAAGTTAGCAATTTGACTTTTACTAGATAACTTTGATTTGGTCAAGTATCAGAATCAATATTTTATTGGATTATCATTGCACTTGCGCTTATTGTTAGTATCTTAATTATATTGAATAAATTAGCTGCACGGAGTGGGGTGGTACCCAGGCAGCACATTTCATAAATATTTTGGGTAGTTAAAGCTTACTGTGGTGGAACTCTCGTTTTATTCAGGCAGTTACACGGGTTTCACTGGACGATGTTACAGTGAAAAGATTATTAATGCGCATTCGAAATGACGATCCTCCTGACGTATGGTTCGAACAAGTGCAAGCAAAGATTGTAGATATTTTGCAAACTGTTTGTTTTTTCCAGAATTTATTTCTTGAAATATGTCATGAAACATTTTTGGCATCAATTTAGGTAATTCTGAGGATATCTAACATTTGGGATCCATTAAAAGCGTTTGAGCGTATGACCAATAGTATGGCCTTTATTAGGCTATACATTTTTCCAAGTCCAAGTTTTAAAACCGTAACAGAGAGGAATTAGTGTAGCATTTGTAGCTTTAAAGTTGTAATAATTGCACTGGTTTTTTACTGTATTACAGGACGAACGCTTTTACGATTCTTTCAAAAAAAGTTCGATATATATAAAAATGTTAAATGAGCTTGGGCTAAATGAGGATATCAATTGTCAAATAGCAAATTCACAGTATAACGATGAAAACAATATTAAGTCAGTAATCATACCCACGTCTGAGACTAAGGTTTTCGTTTTCGATGTAAATTAGTATTTTTTAGAAGACTGATACTTGCGAAACTGTTGTTGTTTATTAAAACAATTACCATAATTGTGTTAACTCATGTAACAGTTTTATCAATGATAAAGATCAACACCCTTACCAATGTTGCAATAATTAAGTTATTGATTGTAATTGGAATCCAACAGTTTAGAAAATTATATAAACAGGAAAACGTCTCATACTTGAAGATTGCAAATAACGTCGATGGGCTAAAACGTACACAAGTAGGAATGCATGCTGTCGTTGAAACACTTGGTATTGGTCAACAAGGGAAACAGTCTTTTGCTCTTTACAATGTACGCGTTTCACGAATTGATGCAACTGGAAAACAGAGTAGCACTTGGAACGTTCTTCGGCGATATTCTGATTTTCATACACTCAATTCACTCATACAATCTCGCGTAAGTAAAACATTTTGTTTCCTTACATTTTAAATGATTTGCTATGGCTTAATTGTATTTTGACACCATTTTAGCTCTGTCATAAAATTCTTGTCCAACATTTATGTACTGGCGTAAATAATGGAGGGGGGAGCTTTCCATTTTTCTACAAAATAGCCATAATAAATCAAACAGACAATAAGAGGCCGAATGCAACGAGCACACTAACTCTTATTTGTTTATTTTGCTTAAATTCATCATACCTTTGATATCTAAAAATTCGGTTGCAGAAAAGCGTACACATACGTTGCATTACCTTACACAATGCAGCACTGCTCCATTTATTATAGACTGATCGTATAATTAACATTATTTTCTAACTGTTTTTAGTTTCCGAAGCTCAGCAATTTATGTTTCCCAGGAAAAAAGACATTCAATAATCTCAACTCACGTTTTCTTGAAAAAAGAACGAAAGCACTCAACAGCTACATGATGGTCCGTTCTCCTATTCAATTTCATTTAACAAATTCAAATTCATTTCAAAACTGAAATCAAGATCTTTGTGATGGTTGGTTAATTTTGGAAGGGAATCTTTCGTATTGGCCATTTCTACTTTTTCTTGATCTCACACCACCTTAAAATATGAATTTAGAGTATCCTACAGCCATCAGTTCTGGAAGCTAATGCCGATCTAGAAACACTCATATTTGATTTTCTCAGCATGAAGGATTATATCGGCGAGAGGGAAGGCTTTCCGAAAAAGGTACTGTTATTGAAATTTCGACAAACCAGAAAGTTCTCTTTTATGATATAGTATTTTAACAGGTTATGAGTGCTGTGTTTGAACCATTAAAAAGTGGTGTACGAGCTTTCGGAAATGCAGTAACAGCTATGCCCGATACAGTTTATGATGGAGTAACTCGTGTGGGTGATGGTATTAATAAAGCTGCAAAACAGATCATCGATTTTCAACCGACACAGGTATCTGTCAATGTTTAATTACAAGTTAATACCTTGGGTATGTCCTCGACCTATTTCTAGTCTGAATAAATAGAAGCTTTTCTAAAAAATTTAAAGTGATCTCATAATATAATTCACTACGGGACAATTTAGCCAATTTGAAATTCCCCTCGCATATTCGGAATTTTTTTTTCTAATTTCTGAGGAAGTACTACATCCCATTATATATGATTTTTTGCAGGGTTTCAATGGTCTATCAAATAAAAAGGATGATTTGAGTCGTGTGGCGGCCGTTTACAACGACCAGGTAATTGTTATATAATTTATCTGTTTAACCACGAATATGCTGATATATTTATGAAACATTTTGTTGCTGAAGTATTTGAATAACATTTCCAAAATCCTTCAAAATTTGAAATAAAGATATCAATTATTTCAATAAAGAAACATCTTAGCAATGGATAGAAAGCATACCATTACGAGTCCTCGTGCTTCTAATTGGCGAAGTATTCGGCGTACGTTCTCGAAATGCGTGGTTTCGAAGAAGGCTGGTAGCTGTATTAAATCAGTTTGTTCATGCAACGATGGGCTCTTCGCTGAATCGCAAAATTATTGATATCGTCCAGTGGTTAACGTCAAAGCAGCAGGTGGCTCAATACCTCGTTGCATTCAGGTACAAAGGCTTCCATCGTGCATTTTATTTCTCAAGGTTATTGACAGTTCTTTCAAATTAAAATTAATGTTGTAATTGCAAAGAAACTTCAGTGGACTATGAAGTAGTATTTTCAGTACTGCATGAATATTTTCCCTTTAGGATCTTTGTAATTTTCATCTGTTGTACGTTCGAATTTGCAGAAATACATTATGGCCTGATGGAAAGCTGGCGGAGGGTATTAAGCGTCGTCCAGAAGGTGAACGGTTGAGAACAAGCGTATTGGCCAGGGCCCAGATGTTGAGTGCTTTGCCGGATGAATTACGACTATTTATAGGCGCTGAGACCACAAACAGAGGGATCGCAAACGTTTCCGAAGCATTTCAAAATTGTCGACTCAACCGACGTCTTCTCTATGTCATATTTGAAAGGCTTCTTGCAAATTTTTTTCCGGACAATCATTTTGAAAAAATTTTCCCTCAATTACATGCAAGAAGCCCACGCTCAAAGCCTTTCCATGTTTAGCCTTCGAACAACAAACACATCTCATGTTCGAGGAATGTAGAATCCAATTTTTTTAGAATCAAAAATGTCCACGCTTGAAATTGCTAGATTACATGGAACCAGTTCCACTCAGGAACCTTGTGAAATAAGTCCGTTGTCCTGTTATTTGCACCATCCAGTGTCAAATTCACACCACTCATTGTCAAGTTCTTTGTTGACGAAGGTAACTTTGGTGATTTTGAGATTTACGTAAAAACCCACTATGACAGATGCTTGCGTTATAGATCAACTGAATTATATTCACGAGAAGGAAATCATACGACGCTCCGATAGACAGCCTCAGCAGTATATTCAGCGAAGCAGGAAGACAGAGCGTTCAGCCATGCTTATAGCTAATTTCATTCTAATGCTCAGCCAGCTCATAAAGTACTTAGTTTACCATTTCGTTGATCTCACTGATATGGGTTTGTATGTTTGTAAGATTATTTACCATATTTTTATTTCGACTTAACCTGTATTACCTTATCATTGCGATTTGTTCACTTTAGTAATGACCTCTTGTCATTCTGCTCCCCAGACATATGGGTCTTTACCGGGTGCTGATATTACCTTTTAGATAGTTTTGCTTAAGCGATTTAACAAACGCATAAAATAGGATATTAATTATGCCACTTCGTAATGTCTAAGACTGTCCGACGATATAGTCGATATAGTCAGTACGACGTAATAAAATTAAATGTCTTTTCAAGGAAATCACGTCCTCACTGAAGTCACCAAATCGCCTTTCAAGACTTCAAAAAGGATATCCCTCATCGTAAGATATTCCTACTGCAAGCTTGTTACTATGCAGTTATGGGAAAATGAGCTTGGTTCTATGGCGGATTCTTCTAACCATCTTGTTTCACTTCGGCCTGCAATATAATCAACAGTTAGATTTGGAAGACTATTTTTTAAGCTTCCAAGTAATTCTAGCAACTCGAAAATAATCAGCTGCACAAAGATCAGTTTAATCAGCTGATTATTTGTTTGCTGTTGACTGTGAAGTGATAGAAAACACGTGAATCGTACAAAATACTGCAGAGTTATATTAATGGTTTATAACCGAAGGTTCAAAAGGAAAATCACTACTACCCGTTTATGCCTCTTCTGTACAAAAGTATCTTTTCGAACAAAACCTTGATGCATTATTAAAGGGAAATTAATATTTTGTAAAAATAATAGATGAGGAGTCCTTATTAGCACGTTTCGAGTATCGTCAACAGTTTGTATCGTTTGAAGTATTCCGTATCCATGTGCAGTGCCTGATAACCTCGAGATAAAACGTAACGAGCCCATGCAAAATGCAGCTGTAAAGGAATGGGTAACACACTGACTTCATTGGCTATTGGATATAAAACACCTAAGCAAATCGTCAACAACGAAAGTGGTTCCATCCGTTTTTTCAGAACACTTCTAATTTTGATATGCTCTTCCAACGCGTCTGTTCCACCACACACTAAAATGGAAAATAATGAATGGTAATCACCTTTCAAAACATTCTGATTGCCGAAACCATTCCTAATACTTAAGTTACGGAGTGAAAAATTGCAATTAAGCACTTTTTTTTGATTTTACAGTTACTAGACGGAAGCGCCATGCTTCCCCAGTGCAAATGTGAAATTAGCTACACAACGAAAGAAAATCCACGGACGTCAAGAATGCTTTTTAAAGTCACTAGCTGGGTAAGCATACACAGTTTGAGCTGTCTGATCTTAATGCCCATAATGCCCAACTAGCCGCAATTTTCTAGGCTATTAAGAATTTCCGGTAATATGTCCATCCGTCATTCAATCAATCGTAATGATTTTCACACTAAAAAAAAAAAAAATGAAAATCTGTGAAGAGAAATCCTACCAAACAATTGTCCTTCAACAACAGCCCCTGTATGCCACAATCTGCGAAATTTCGTTTCGTGTCCAATATCTACTGCAGTCCACGTCCCCACACAACGCCCACTACGATCTTTTTTCACTTCCACTTTCCAAAAATCAGAGAGTGCCTGACCTCCGTTAGAATACCCACCGTAAACCAAAGCTTGATTTGAATGTAGTGTATTGAGTGAACACCATGTTCTACCTTCTGGCTCATTTATTCCTGTCACGTCACTGAAACTTTCATTCTGAATCTAAGAATATGCATTCTAAGAAACAACATAGAGATTTCACATAAAATTGTTCAGGGATAAGTGAAATCCTACATTTGCGTCCAGATAAGGGATGACAAATCAAGCAGGTACAAATCATTCAGTCGCTGATTTTTGTTTCGTCCACCGAAAAGCAGAATACCATCAAATCTCTCGAGAAACGTGCATGCAGATGCCGCACGGGCTGAAGGCACTGTTCCTCCGACTCTAAAAATGTTATGGGTAGGCAATCCGAAAAAGATTAAATTGGTTTCAATGCAAAAATTCATTTTAACGTGCCTTTAAAAAAAAAGAAAAAACTCAGTTAAAAGCTGTACATACTAAATTTTATAAAATTCCAATCCATATTTCAAATAAAAATGAAGGATTTTCCTATCTTTACAGTTTATGGATATCTTCTTCCTATAAAAGAACCGACTTACTTTGCAAGAGTCCAGTTCAACTGTTTTCTTGGGTCAGGATCAAAAATCAGTAACTGATTATTCCAGGAGAAGGGGCTGGTTTCGTCAGCAACAAATTCTCCCACATCTCTCAAATACTGCGCCGGATTTGGCATATCGAAAGGGCGTGGTCCGTATCCACCAAAGTAGTAACATCTAAAAAACGAACTTCTGACTATGTTCTCTGATTACTTCAGCACCGTGCAGAATGATAACGATGACTTTTTACGATTTGTTACAGCATTGGTATTAGTTTGCAAAACACTGACAAAATACCACACTCAAGAAACATGAATACCGAAATCCTTAATCCTAATTGAATTATTTGCTTTCATTAAGCCCTTTCAAAAGAATCTAAAGTAGACTTTACCTTAATAATCGAAGATTACTTTGTTGTATTGTTTAATTTATTGAATCCAATGCGCACAAACTGAACTTATTTTAATCAAAAAGTTCGACGAAATTCCACTATGCTAAGTTAATCAAAATCCCAAGAAAATTGCTAAGCATGATGCAGAACTCTAACTTTGTCTTGTAACACCACCCAGCCATTTTATCTCGAGGTGTTGGTATGAGGCTGTCATCGTCAGTAACAATCAGTGACCATCGTTCTTGTACTAAATCCAAAACATACATCGCCGATGAATGACCTTCCAGGATATTATTAGGAGTAGCTGCAAATAATTTTATGTAGCGGTGAGCAATATAATTTAATGCTTTTTGGAAAATCAATTTATTCTAAATATAAAGTCAACGAAGTGCTACAAACAAAGTCTTGCAAGTCACAATACTTGATCCAGTGAATCATAGCAAATTAATAAGAAGTCAGTAGGCATCACTGCTTTCATAACTTAATGTGCATTGTTTCAGGATGAATTGAAAAAGAGGAATACTGAAATGCCTACTGGAAGAATAAGTTAAGGAATTTTAGATGAACAACTACTACAAAACTAAATATTTATTGATTTAATATCAATCTGATACTAAAGGAATACGCCAGCACTTAATCAACTGGTATGTAAAGTCAATAACTAGTTGTTTACTAAATTTGCTCAGTTTGCTTTTGCAAAAACCATCTATTGGAAGAATGAAAGGATGACCAAGTTTGCAATACAAAGTTGATTGATGAAAGAGATGAGGACATTAGATACAAAACTACAGTAATTATATATTTTATTCCTATTTTGTTTTCGGGTATTTTATCATTGTATTTTCCGATCTAGCTTGTCAAAAAAGCACACAAATCTGGAATACAATATCTATGAATCGACAAATGACTAAGGCTCTCATATAATGTTGACCATGAATACTACCAATTTAAAACAAAAGTAATCCGAAATTTATCCATGCGAATTCTTTCTATAATTCATGAATTACAACGATAAGATACCAGTTAAAACTTTAATAACTGTCATAAGTGCTGATTCATTCTGATCGTTCCGGCGATATCTTTCATTCGGGATGATATCGTATCGAGATGTAATTATTTGCATTAAAGTGCAATGGTTATTTAATTAAATAAATAATTATACCACGAAAAACGTATCAATTGTTCCGAACCTAAATTTCCAGAGAAGAAAACATGTTAATTACGCCTTGAATAAGAATGATTTCAGAGAAATGGTTCGTAATGAGCTTAAATCTGGTTGTTGTAGTATTACACGAATTTCACTTAATGTACAATGCTCGATGAACACCGCATCCGAAATGATGGAATCTAATACTTACAACGTCGGACGTAGCCTCCAAAAATAAAAATATAACAGTCACATAATACAGCACAGGCACCACTAGTTGATGGAGGGACGTCACCGTGTGGAACATGATAAAGTATCCTAAAATGGTAAATCATCCATAACTTCATAGAATTTCCAACTAAAAAACTGAGGAAATATTTGAACCACTAACGGACAAACAGACAAACGAACCACTTCACATCGTTACAACCGGTCAGCAAACCAGCAGGTAATATGTACAGAAATGTGGAAGAGCGATAACGAAAATCGTTGTCCTCCGCATGATGGTAACCACCCCATACAATCAATGATTTTTTATATTGAATCATTGTATGACCGACAACTGGACTTATCTCCCTACTGTCGTCATCCTGAAATGGTTTTAAAATAAATAATACATATTACCTAATAAGAAAAAAACTTCAAGAACTATGTCGACATCGCGAACACAGTGTAAAACGCAAAAGATCGACACAATAGTTCTTAAATGACAAACGCAAATTAGATTTGTGAAAGATGGCGAGAAAATTCTACCAATCTTGGAAAAATTTGCGTATTTTACAGGATAAGGAGCAGTAGTGCACAAACAGCCCATGTGAGAAACATAACGAGAAAGGATTGATATAAGTCTACAGAAACCCGTAAGAGAGATGCCAGAAGGATTAATAAAACACGCAAATAGACAGAAATAACGATATATTACCAAAATTTGATGAGGCAGTCGTTGATTGTTCCAGGTTACTTCAGCGCCTTCCGGTGGACCACCAAACATCATTAGTACAATCCACTGTAATGAGGAAACTGAGTTCAATAGTACTGATAAAGCTCTCATCATATACATGAAAGTTCTAACAAAAGATAAAAATCAAGTCCTTACAAGGCTACTTTCCACTAAGTTACAGCTCAGAAAATGGTTGAGACTGGTATCACACGCAGTTGGAAACAAAGAAATAACTTACGCAAGCAATTAAGTTAATTATAAAGAAAACAGGAAATAGAAAAACGAAAACAAAACCACATTCGCAAAAGAGAAAGAAAAACCAAGTTGATCATACAGGGAGAGCCATAATTCCCATCAGTTCCAAAACTCTTCATTTATAGTTAAATTCAAGCCCAAGGGACTGCCTCACAACCATCCTAACTCCACCACTGACTAACTGTCGACCCCTCACATCGACACTACATCAACCTGCGTGAAACCATCTTTATCGCAAATCGAATCCTGATCACGCTGTGTTACCACAACTTCAGCATCTGTGAACGTTGCTATTCTACGGAATGGTGTATACATGGAAGTTGTTTGTACCTTTACATGGATTACTGTGTGACACTTTAGGAGGGCCTGTGGGTATATAGCTTCCTCATTTAACGCGACATCCATAAACGAATATCAAGAAATAAACACGAACGTCTGTTATTTTATTAGGTGCGATCCTACAATAGATACAACAAGCACATAAGCACTGTCTTGTCCGAAGATATATTGAGTTTGATCAGAAGTGATGAACAAATAAAGCATCTCAGGCAATAATCCATTAGATTTCAAAGAACTTGGAAAAATGAAATGAAGTAGCAATATTAGGATGATTTCTTCGGAGGAGGCATGTATCCTCGAGGTCGAATGAGCATTTGCACCGCTGAGAGACGTTTTCCATTCCAGTTAAGTCCGGGATAGGTACCCTGAGCTCTGTTCGTGGCAGTTAAAACACCTTTTTGTTGGCATCCTTTTCTCCACCATCCTCCTCCACCAATACATTCTTTCTCTGAACTTGTCACGAATGGACACAGTTGACCTTGGGCCAATTCGTTTGCTACTGAAACAAAAAAAAACAAAAAAAAAACCTGAGATATTTTCTCGTGTATATCTGTCTAGAAGTTTTCGAAATATCTGAAAAACAAGATTGTCTAAAAATAAAAATAGTCTAAAAGTACGAACATGTTTACCGGATGCAAAATATCGTGAGTTTATTGATTTGTGACAAGAAAAAAAACACACTGTTCGCGCTATTTCCATAAATGATACTTCCAATATTTAGTCGGTAATCGAAAAGTTTTTCATAAACAATAAAATGCGAATACCGAACCAAAATTATCTGACCGCTGACTGCCGTGCGTAACCTTAAAAGTAATTCATTCGGGCACTGAGGACGACTAGTCAAGTGGTGCATGCGCTCCAGTCCTGAAATTGAGTGTTTCACGGAACAAGCCATATCCAAAAATGCTACAAATATAGTTGTCAAATATTGGTTCCTAAATTACGTCATAATTCAAAAGAATAAGATTATCTAATTTATCGCTGGCAACGCTCTACGGAATTAATCTTATATTTGACAAACGAAGTCAACTTTGTTGAAACTTTTATTGGAATGAGCATATTTTTCAAGAATTCCTTTTAACAATATTTTAACAATAACACTCTTTTTGAAAAAGGAAGATATATTAAGATAAAAAAGATATAAAGATAAAAAGGAAAGGATAAAAAAGATAAAAAAATGATAAAAGACATAAAAAGATATATGTTTGAAAAAAGACATATTTGGCCGATTCATACTTGATAAGAGAATGAATTCCCAATAAAATTTTATTAAAACATAAATGAATGAAAACCAACCAATCCAGAAATTTGATTTATCTAAATCGAAACCATTTTCATATTCCAGTATATCCTTGTCAAAACTAAGTGATGTATTAAACCGTTGCATGATTATCTGGAAATAAGTTGCTCAACTTTATTTTTCGAACCAGAGGCTGGTTGTCGTTTTTCTTGTCATACCTATTGCAATCTATTAAATTTGTATTCAGCTGCTGATAGTGTGTCGATTACCGAATGATATAATTTGAAACAGTAAGTTTTATTTCATACCGCAGGAGATTATGTTATATGTAGGCAATACATACAACACAACCTCTTTTTATTCATAACTTCCTTGAAGAGTAAAAATGCTAAGCCAAGTATATCTCATGCTTTTCACCTGTCACTAACATATCTTCAGAAACTTACCGTCCATCCACCACCAAATAAATTCATCTCACAGTGGGCAATAAATGGACACATCTCAGGCTTAGAGCAACTCCAGTCATTGAGTTTAAAGAGGCCTGATCCCAGAGAATGATAACGTCGCTGCAAATCGGCACAGTCGGTGCTGAAAGGTGGAGCTGAAATATGCTGAACTTCATTTTTCTACAACCACAAGTCTTACAGTCGCTAAGGTCACCGAAATGCTGTTATGACTATTATCAAGGTATTTATTTGAATACAATTCTTATTTGAATATAAAGTTGTTTAAATACAATTCTTCTCTATGCTCCCGGCTAGGTTTCCTCAAGTTTCTGTCTTATTTTATTACTTCTTGATTGTTGAGTTATTCCAATAATTACTAGTTATCAGATTTTATCGACTGTTTAAGAGAAAACGAGATGTTTAGAAATTCAATCCCGCCATGGCTTAGTAATATCCCCTGCTATTACTTTATTCTTTCGCGAGATAGTCTCTTCGAACATGGAGTAATTAAACAAAGTCCTTTTCAGGAAAATAGATGAGTATCAACGGGACATCATAACAAATCATTTCTGAAAATTAAACTAACTAACCTGAAAAAGGGATACAAAAACCGAAAGCAGTACGCGAATAACCTAGCGGACAACCGCATGTGAACATGCCAGCAACTGGACTGAAACTGCATTGCTTCGGTTTCTGACACATGTCACCTCCAGCCATCTCTTGGCAATATCCTGCATGATGAACAATATTTCGATTAAAGTTGAATTGTAAGTTTACTGATACCCAAAAGATAACATGAGCTAAATGACCCAAATAAGTCTGATAAGAAATAAAGAACTGGAGGAATAACACTATATGCTTTAGCTTTTTAAATGTCAGTTTAACAGTTTAATACTGATACAGCCACGACTATAACAACTGAAAAATACTGTCAACTTCCACCTGTCTCTATAAATAGAACAAAACTTTCGTTTTTATATATCATAAGGAAAAAGGATTTATTTTGAGCTTTACTGCTTTCAACTTTCACATTTGCTGTTGCCATCTCAAATTAGAAATCATACTTTCATCACTTCCATCGTGACACTGTTCAGTACCATCTAAGACATCGACAATGGATATACATTCATGAGAGGTGATACACCGAAATTCGCCTTCTAGACATCCCTCTATTGGCTCTGAAAAAATTATACAAAAAATTATTTAATTATGACAAGGAGACAAAAGTAGAAATGACAACAATAATAGACGTTCGTTTAGGAAACTGCATGCAGTGATAAATAAAAATGTGATTTGAAGTGGGAAAACGATTTAAAATTAGTTATTACTTTCAATAGGAGCACCCACATCAAATGGCGATGTTGTAGTTGGATTTATTCTGGTCTGATTGCAACCTAATAATTCAAGAGCACAAAGGTCTATAATAAGGTAATATTAGAAACCACATGCTTTATATCACTGTCTTGTTACTCTATTAAAATTTGAGATTATTTTGTCCATGATCAAAATGCGACAGTTTGATATGGATAGAGAATATTACGAGACATACGAGAAATTTGAATACAAGATTATGCGATTCCTAGTTGTGCGCATATAAAATGAACTATCCGTATGTTAGAAACTAAATCAAGCTTAATTATAAGTTTCTTTCGAAGGCTACGGATCACTTTGACAAAATCTTCAAATGCGGGAACCTTTGGAACTTATACGAAATGAGCTCTGGAAGTGGAATTTTCTTGTTACCTTCGTCTGAGCCATCAGCGCAATCATCAATACCATCTCCAATCCACTGAGGTAAAACACAATTGTCTGTGGACAAACATTTGAAATGCTCAAGTTCCAAACATATATTTCGCCCTGCAAAAAAAAAAAACCAACAAAGAAACATTTAAAAAATAAAAAGCTGAAAGTGAGGACGACAAAAATTAGCAATGGAAAATAAACATCGACGATCACTGCAACGCATATCACGCTCCTCCATTTTGACACATTTTCCACATCCATTGCTTATTTTCGAATCACATAACACTTTGTTCACTGGACATTCTGTAAAAAAACATTCTGTCAACTGATAACAATCAACTTGTGATATGAACTATCAACAAAATCAATTATTTTTTGATTTCAAGGCCATTGATATTTAAACAGGACTTTCATCAGCTGCATTTGGACAATCAACGAAACAGTCTCTCACTGCTGTGAGTGTTATACAAACTCGTGGACCATCAGGATCGCAATCAAAACTGGCTACACATCGGCCACCAATATGTCCAGGATATTCTGTAAGCATGAAATTAGTAAACTGAAATGGTCTGTTTATAGCCTTCCCAATAAGCACTCTTCCTTCACGAGTGACACACACTCAGAACACCACTCTTCGACCATACTGCATGCCACCAAATCGTGAAATGCAGCAGTCTTGCATAAAGTGATTGGTATTTCTGTTAATTGCGACTTCTTTGTCCATCTTTCTAAACTAGTTGATTATTGGATGATGAAATAAAGAATATCCATCTTTTTAATGTCAGATAACTAAAATGATTTCCGTTCTACCCATCTCTAATGATAGGACCTCAATAGAGCGGAATTTTGTGCCTGAAAATATCAAATGAAAAGAATGACCTGTAATAAGAGGAATGTGAGCGCATAGGGATGGTAAGTAAAGGATGGTGAGGAATGGTACAATCCGATGAGTGACATCTGCCCGCATTGGACATTACCTCCCTTAGGTATTCCTGAAAAACGACAATAAAGTGGACGGAAATAATAAAATTATTCCTATGAATGAGGCCGTGTATATAGGGTGTGTGATGCCAGTAATGCACAATAATCTATGAATAATGGTTGTCAATAAATAATCGCAATCCCTGCCATCCATAAATTTCCAGTTTTCCTGTATATAGTAGTTGTGCCTGCTGAAAGCCATTACGTACAGGTAGCGGTTCAATTAATCAACGTGCTCATTCTTATCATTGCATCATTGGTCCACGTATCGCTGGCAAGTTGTTTGTTGATTTCATTCGAAATAACCTCATCCACTGTCTTCTTGTCAATGATTGCAAAAGTTGTGCTATTATGACAGCTAAATCATGCAAATATTTAGCGGGAATGTCCTCTAATATATGCGCTTCACTCTCCATTTTAGGAAAATTATTTGATGATGAATGGAGAGTAACATATCGGTAAGATTTAAAAAACTAGCACTATTGTGAAAATTAGCATTCACTTGTCATTAATTTGGTCTTTGATACCATTCGAAAAATTTCAAACATGAAATTAAAATTTTAATTTCGACAACTGGTGATAGATTTACAGGATTGATCAAATATCAGAACACTGACTCTTCCACTCTAACTCAAATGTTGAAATCCAGAAACAACTGTTCTTGACCTCCTATGGACCCACTTTGTTTCTAGGCTCATCTATTCTTGATTCATTTCACAAATGATAAAAAGCAGCAAAAACAGCCAGTGCTATTCAACATCCTAACTAGATAATTCTGAGGCACTTAATACTAACTATAACCCTTCTATTAGACCTCTTCTCGCAGCTAATTCAAAATGACTACAAATACAAAATTACAAACACCATCCAGAGATAAGAACTACCGCAGATTGAGTGTCACTTCGTCTACCATAGCTATGCAGGAACAATCCGTCCCGCAAGTATGTACATGTGCAGGTTACATATGTAAGCAGATGAGGACATACTATCTATTTTTTGGATTTAGAATCACAATAACAAGCATCTGTTGTCATCTACTTCATTCCTCGAGTTCTTTAATATTTCAAGTTTTGAAACTATAATGATAGCAGTGTCAAATATACCAACCAGTTTCTTACTCCCATGAAATTGACTCATCTTTAGCGATGTTTGCTAGTGCAAGGCGGTGCTTGTTGTCGCGAAGAGCTCAGCTATGCTGAGAATAGTTGGAAATTTTGTACCCATCTGTTCCTTGTAATTCACGAGGATTGTCATCACTTAAAAAGTGTAGAGGATGAACTGTCGATGTTCTTGGCCAAACAGGCCGAATGCTCCTTCAATAGCATCCTTTACGTGTCCACACACAGTTGATCATCCGACCCTTTCTATGCGACAAGTGCAAGGTTCAACTCCTATATATACGCGCTGTACTTTGTTAGTTCTTATTTACGCATCATTTAATACGGAAAACTTTCTCCCTGTAAACATCACAAAGAAGGGGAGATACCACGACACTCTCCCAGCGGGTCTTCCAACCTCTGACCACATTTCGTGAGCAGTGACCCGAAGACAAGAGGGACACAGGATGATTGAAACATTAGGAGGATACAGTGGGGATATAACCTCCAGGATGTGGCGCATAATTTTTGCATTGCTTAGCCGGTGAACGTTTTCTTTGTTTTTTAGTTGTGCAAATGTGAGAAGTAATGCTGCGGACGGGAAAATCGCTCAACTTTTCAGTGAATCAACGAGAGGTTACTCTTATTGTCACTGCTACATATTGTATCAATTAATTAATACTGTTATAAAATGATTCAAGTAAAAAACGCTGTAATTCTTTATAGGCGCCTTCGGTAGTATCGAAGCAGTTTTGACTGCTGTAAATTCTATTGCTGATATGCTCAATGCCACCTATCATGCAGTTTTTAGTTCCTTTCAAGCTGTAGTTGGTACGTTCGATGAATTTGCAAAACTAAAAACACAGGTGCGTAGCATTACAGGGGGCTTTTCATTAAAGGAATTTCACATGTTCGAATAAATTTTGGGAGGCCTAGTGGCATTTTTTGTAGATGCTAACTCTTGGCACTTCGAAAAATTGGTACTCAAAAAGATTTTCCGTTTGAAATCAATAATAAATTAGCCTTTTCTCATTTGTTTTCTCTTCAAGGTGTCAAACATCGTTAATATTAGAGGGATGAAGCAATGCAATATTCATTTGGTAATTCTTAAGCCTTAGATACATTGTTTATTGGCTTCAACAGCACTGCTGAAATGGTTACGATATATATGGCGACTTTTGCTGAAATGTTTGTGGTTAAGAGGTAATGGTGACGATGGAATGGAAGAAGTATGGATGGGAGTTCGAAAAAATTCAAGTGTGATTGTATCTATATATTGTAAAACATATATGTGTTCCTTTTGCTTATGATTTTCAATGAAAAGAGAAAAGGACAAACTTTTTTGAAGTAAAGAGAATATGTTATTTAGTTCAAAGATAGATCTACATTGCCGTTCGCAAAATTCCGATGTCTGGTAATTTTCTTGATAAGAATGCTCTTGTAAAACTTTGTATCATTTTTCATGAAGATCTAGAGTAAGAGTGAATTCAGGTGCATTCGCAACGCAAGGAGCTCCATTGCAGTTGGTTTCTTCCAATCCTTTTCGTTGGTTACCTTCACTAATGTTCTGGTTAATCGCAGTAGGTCTACCTTATTTGATGTATCAATCGCTTGAGCGAATGATGGATGAGTCAGTGAAATGGACGACGGGAAAGGATGGTTATTACGAAGCACAGGTAAATGTTTTGAGATGGAAGCTAGTGGAGGATGCCCTATCAGGTTGTTATAATAACATATGACGCCATTTAAAAACTACGGAGATTAATTTAGGCGACAGAAGATCATGATGCTGAGGCAAACGATAAAATATCATTTAAATGTGGCGACATTTTACGTGTTGCACCCAGAGAATACCAGCCACGAAAGCTTGGCTACATTTTGGCATGGTAATTTGTTTTTGAGAAAGTCCACTTCTCATTTCCAACCAGTCCTGTCTTTCATTAATTCTTTCAGTTATATTTACCACGATTTAATGAAGACCAGTAATTTAAAGGCTGGATATCATATTAAATTTCAATACACTATTGTTAATTTTTTAGTTTAATCTACAAACAGTTATTCAGGTTTTATATTTATCGTCCTTTCAGCTCAATAGATGGTAAAAAGATTGGATTAGTCCCAATAAAGAAAGTTCGGTTGATAAAACGAGTCGTTGAATCATCTGTTTTCACTGGACAAAATGCCATCCAGTTGTTTGACGATGCACACACTTCTGAAAATAATTTGTATGATTAAGGCCAATTTTATCATTATATTATTTTGAAGATTTCAATTGTAATTTATATATATATTTTAGATTTTTGAGAACGTATTCTAAATTATCTGAGATGCTATGTCTTAATCCTTCGTTCCCTAATTCTCAGAAATTCTCAGATTTCCCAAGCAAGTTTCTTCGAGTTATTGAACTAAGCGTCCCTTGTGATAGATATTAATCACTTGAGTGAAGGTCTATCCCGGAATTAATCTCTCTTGTTGACGACAAATTACTATTATTGCAGCACTAAATTGGCCGCAATAATTTGTATCTTAATTCAGAAGTGCGTTGTTGGGGTTTATCCTTTTTATCCAGTTTCTCGATTTTCTAGTCTAGTTGGAATTTCTTGCGAAATTTCCATTATGCTAGGACTGTTAACATAATCATGTAATACATGGAGTACTGAAATTCATACTTTCGGGCAACATATTTTCCAAGCTCGTTTACCTTTATCAATTGCTAATTTTGAATGGGAGAAAATTTTACGACAATTTCCAGTTGCTCAGAAAAGCGCTTTCTGTCCATATGTCATCCCACACCTCCTTTTGCGTATTTTCAATATCTATAAGAACTGTTTAGAGTTTTTGCTTTTTTTCCCATAAAATTCCATATCAGTTGTTTTGCTAGTGCATCTAGAAGAAATCCATATATCGTTCTCTTGAAACAAGGAGAAATACCTTCTTAACATTGCTATATCCAAGTATAAATATATCTTTACCCATATTTTGTGAACTTATCAATATGGAGCGATGAAAATAAAAAGCTTTTTGAAAACGGAAGCAAGACTGTATAGGTACAAATTAAAAAATTGGAAAAGTAAGTTCATACACACATCTGTGTGAATTCAAAGGAGGATTTTATACATATTTATTTTCAAAAAGTAGAATATGAATTTACAGTAATGAATAAAATAGCCTGCAGAAGTGTGTTGCATATATGTATATATAATGTATCGATTCTATTTCCTTGATACAGTGCTCATAATTTGTTAACACTTTCATTTCGCTTTGCAAGCTTGCAATTGAAAACAACGAGAGCGAGATGGAAAGGTGGAATAAGCATCAGCAGTGGTGAAGAAAAGCAGTCCATGCAGTAGAAAACAATGAGATCAGGTGTAGTTAGAGAACACTGTAGTACGAAGAACAGGATGACATTAACAATATTGGGTAAATCATCGAAGTGTCAACTGCATATGGTTGAATGTTTTAGAACATAAGTGCTGGATCAGTGCAGCATTATTCTCATTGGTTTCGGGTGATGAACCAGGCGATGAAGATGTATTTGAATTGATATGCCTGTAATAAAAAGTGGATTGCCTGCGGAATTATGTTGTTTTTAGTTTTCCTGGACTCAGGGATTTAGAAATCAGAGCTAAATTTCATTCTTACAGTTTTGCCCCTCCTCTTCACATCAAGGGTGTATTTGACGGATGGATCTTTGGTCGTGTTACAGCATGAAAATAATAAGTGCGATAATTTCTCATTCAATAAAATTATCCTAACTCGTTTGTTTATTGTACTCAATTGTGATTATAAATTTTGCATATGTTTATCTTATTTAAAAAAATCACTTTACAGATCAACACTGGATGAATGTTAGTTATGAATTAACAAGGATAGAAAAAAAAAACCGATAAAAGAAAGAGCGATCCACCTGAGCAGATTAGCATTTTTATCATTGCGTTTATCTTTGGCTCGACGATTCTGAAACCACGTTTTCACCTGACTCTCATTTAGACCTAATGATCGAGCAATCAGCAGTCGTCTACTTCGTGGCATATACTGATCTGTGAGATATTCCTAGAGAAATATCGAAATGGATTGGAAAAATGGAAGTTCACGATTTTCACCAACAAGTTTATAAATAAATGTCTCCATAAATCGTTTTAGAAAAAAAAGTTTTTCTTTGTTATTTTTTTTACGGAAACATGGTGCTTTTATTGCAACAATACTAAGTAAAGCTGTAAAAGTTCCAGTAAGATTTTTTCAATTTCAAGTTAATTTCAATTGATTCTTAGGATTGGTGTATTTTAGATCGTTATCATGGAGTTATCCGTAATATTCATTAGAATGATATAACTAACTCTCGTTCATATGATAATAATATTTGCAATGACAAGTTCGTACTTTTATGGGTTAGAAATGATTGTTTACATTCAACTATGCAATGATCATTCAGGTGAGGAAAAGAGAGAAGGACAATCAGTGAGTATTGCACAGAAGTTTTATGTGTCCCAGATACATTTTGAGAGCAATTCTTAGTTTTTTACAAATTATCTCCCTCATCTTTTTTCGATTTTTTTTAAATTATTATATGCTAATTATCACATATTGATTTTTCTTCACATTCTTTTCGTATCCAATGATAGTGAAGGTTGAATATATATATACATATAGTATATACATATAGTAATTAACATATACCATTTAATTTAAATGTATAATTATAAGGTATGTGTGCCCGCGTCTGTGTCTGTATAGACGTGTATGTGTGCGTGTTTTTGAGCGCCGAAATACTAAAAATTATGCGTTTGTTTTGATGGATTAAGTACTACTAATACGAAAGAGAAGGCAATAAACCTTTTCCAATGTGTCCGCCTGGACAGATGTAAAAGTTGTCCGCTGTCGTCTCCTTGTGGTTGCAGTCACGTTTACAGATCCCAGTGATTTGTCGAAACCTGTTGTTACATATGCAGTATCATCATTACTACAACCAAAAATTTCATGCAACATTGCAAAAAAAGATTTAAAAGAAATGATTAAGGATTACAACAGTAGTGAGTCCTCATGGGAATCTCGAAAGGAAAGTGGTTGAGAATGGAAGAAGGAATAAGAAACTTCAAGCAGACATTAAATCATCGTTAGTTGGAGAAGTTCTCACCAAATTAATCTCATTAATTTTTAGCTGTGCAATAAATGAAGCAATTCAATGTGACCATAAATCGATGAACTTTCGAAATAAAGTATTTTCTAATTTTTGAACAGAGTCACATCTATGTCATTTCTCATTTCTTTTTCCCTAATGTCATCTGTTATTACAATCATTCAGTTTTCATACTCCCTGAAGACCTTTGCAAGCAATTTAAAACACTTTAGGTGATCCCAATGATATGGCAGATATCACTTTTACTTGGCAAGTTAAAAGGATGCGAAAGCCATATGTTGCGTTGAATGACAGGTGTTTGGTCACGCATAAAATTAGCAATATATGATACCATGCCGAGATACATTAATTATCGCAAAACTCTTTCAAACAAAGTTTTAATGAGTTGCTTTTTCCCACTAGAAAAGTGATATTTTATTAGTTCAAAATTCCAAAAAACTGTCTCTAATAGTCATACAGTCACTAATGACGATATTATACCAATAATAATTCCTGTTGAGTAGTGAATTTCAAAATCCCGACATCCCGACTAAGATATCTGTTGAAGATCGTATGAAAGATCATTGGTAATAATCACTAGGATTATGATGATAGAGATAAAAGAATTGAAAAGGATGATAATGACAATTCAGGGAAATAACAATGACCTTGTTGTATTATCGACAGTTTGATTAGCAAGTCGTAAGTACGGTTTGAATGCCGAAAATGACGGATGACCAATTGTTATTGACGCTGCCATTGAATACTCTCCTACTATTCACCAAACAATTATGTTTTATGAGGTATGATTTTTTATTCGAAAGGATCCTAAAATGTTCATAAAAAGTCAAAAAAAAGAAATAACTTCGGACTTAAGTTCTAACAACGCAGTGAATAAAATAACAGCACAAAGTATCATAATTACGAAACGGTTAATGAAAACAACAACCTCGGGACGATTAAGAATGCTACCTTTTATGAAGTGACAATATATGAGATGACTGAGAAGCACTGTTATCAGCAGGGTGAGAAAAGCATTAACATTTTTTTCACCTTTTAATTAAACTATATTCATTTATACAATTTTCATTACTCACTGTTATACTTATTTTTCTGTTTCAAAGCGTTTTAACAACTCTAGCATTGTTAGAAAATCAGGCTAAATAGTAAAATTAATCCTTTATTCATCACTGCACTTCTATATTTATCATTTTATATTGTCAAAAGGAATTTATAAAGCGAAGTGGTTACAAGAAAGGGCTTTTTAAAATTCAAAAATAGGGCTGTTTATGGAAAATATTGTGCTCATCAAATAATCTCTCCTCTATATGAATTGGAAAATTAAATAACTAAATCGAAAGTGTTTTTCTTTAACTAAAGGAAAAAGATTGCCTCAAACATATAACTCTTATCAGACTAATTTATCAATGTGATGACAACGAACGAAATTTTATTCTTTGACAATTATGTTTAAAGAATTGCTGAGAATTACGAAGTATAACAAAATGCAAAATGCATTAAAAGGCATATGTTATCGATCAGCCTATTATTTTATCAAAATGATCTCAGACATTTTAATTTACAAATAAATCGAATAAAATGAAATTTGCGAATTTTGCATGATGCAAATTTACTGGATTTAATCATCTGAATATTAGTCTATTAGATATCAGCGTATATGAACTCCAAAGTGAGAAAAGGTAATGGGATACTTGTCTACATGACACGCAACAATATTTGTTAACTTTTGAAATGTAAATATATCAATTACAGTGGATAATTATTTAAGCAGAATGCACCATATACTTATTACGATAGTTACATTTTGCATAATATTAAAGTCTTTATTACAAGTTGTAACTATGAAAGCTCAGAACTATCTGTTTACATGAAAATTGAATGGAGATAGAAAAAGTAAAATTAAAGTAAAATTCATTCAAATTATATCATATGAAATTTTCCGAAAGAGATTTTTACTTTCATTTCTTCTATTTTATCCTTTAAATGTATGGAGTTTCCACTTAGTTACAATTAGGTGGCAACTTGTGATTAAAAAGTTATTTAATCAGATAATTAGCTCCATCGAATACATATGAAACACAAAGTTTAGCTGGTGGTATAAAAAATTTTAATTGAGATATCATAACAAATTACTGGTACTATTTGTTATTATTAACATAATAAATTTTGATGTTATGAATGATGGTTTAAGCTAAGACTGGATAAATTTTCATGCAATATAATTGTATTCCGGTTTGATAAAACTGTATGAATCGAAAATTTCATCATCCCATTAACAAATCAATCGAAACTTCCTGGAGTCCTAATGTCTACGGAAGTTCAGTATTACGATTGGAATATCCGATCAATTTACGGTCGATTCATAGTTAAAGGCGATAAGAGGTCTTAATTCTTAACAGTAAGTAACAGCTTAGAATTAGCAAGGTCGAAAGTTTAGTGTGAACTCAACCAATGAGGAAAAATTACTGTAGCTTTTGATCACGTAGATAAACGATTATCCGGTCATCCACTGCATAATATTGCTCGGCTGTTGGTATCATTGATGCTCCTAACATAATTAAGCTCAGGAATTAAATTAAATTAAAAGTATCAAATTAAAAAGGGGCAATTAGTGGGGTTAATTCGACCATACAAATGTCTATCTTCCATTTCCAATTTTCAGAGGATATTTTTCATCCCATGACTTTTATTTTTGATAATAACATCATTTACCTCTCAACACTGTCAATAACTTATCATTTTAGTTTCACGCACGTCAAAAGACAAAAGCAAACGACAAAAGTTGTGCAGTGGATGGTTTTGAAATGACCTTTCTGGTCATCTGTCGTTTGTAATTTTAATGCTCAAAACTTTTGCAGTAAGCTGCATATGCTTATTAATAGACATCAAATGTACTTTAGGTGATAATAAAAAAAGAAAGTTTGGGGAAAGATCAATGGTCTGCAACAAGCTGCAAGAGAGATGGGGAGAGCAGACCTTTTCAAATTCAAATAAACTCATTTGATGAGGACGATAGACTAAAAATATGAAGGAGTAAGGAGAAGTGACATTGATTACAAGTTGCTTGCAATGTAAATAAAAGTAAAAGGCTAAATGACTGAAAACCAAATATGAGAAAAAGAGAAACCAAATTCATCGATATCACGCGAATACTAATTAATACTTATGCATCAGAAAGTTAATAACGATGAGACGAGATCATAGTTAAGTGATTTCACAGAAATGAAAGAAACAAAATGAAAACATCATTAAGCAGGGATAGTAACGTAATAATTACAAATAAATCATTCAACTGGCAAAAAAGAAGGAAAAATTGGATGTCTGGTAATTCAGTTTAAAAACGGTGCAGTTAAATTGAAGAGACACACCGATATAAAATCTATAGCAGTAATATGAATTATTTATTTATCTTCAAAACTTATTCGTCCAATCATTTCTACTTTTAATTTATTAATGATATTTTGAGAGTTCGTCAAATCTCAAAGTTTTTTGAGGAATGGTAAATTCTATGAATAATTGGTAAATGTTTCGCTTTCGTTTTCTCACATCAATATTTACCATTACGATAATTTCTCAGTATAATTTCTTTGAAAAGTATACAGAATTTAGAGTTAATTGCCTTTAAAACTTACCGTATTCGTCCAGCCAGATTGATTTAATGCGAAAAGTTTTGACATAAAATTCATATACGTTTAATTTAAATCAAGGTACGGTTAGCTATGATTATCTGGTTATTTTAACGCACATGTTGAATATGTCAAATTAAAGAAGAGATCTAGTCCCGAATTCATCTACGCATTAATATGACATGCCGGTCGCCGACAGTATGGCATGGTTTCCACAGATGTTTTTGAAATATTTTAATACTGCTTGAGCATTGAAAATGTTCCTGTTCTGGACGAATTTCGCCAGAATAATTCAAAAGATAAAAGGAAAAGGAAATACTTTTATTTGTCAACCTTTGGAATAAAATGAATTCTTTTGACACTTTTAAGTAGGCTCGATTGAGGGAAAACTGCAACTAAACGCACTTGCTTCATTTCACCTGTACTGCGAAAGGCTAATTCTATAAAATGATAGGACTCTTCAAAAGGAACTTCTTCAAGAAACGTAATGTTCTCAGAAAAAGTAGCTTCTAATACAATCAGTCTGAAGAGGGAAGAAGTGATGACATCGAACTGTTATAGTGATATATAAAACCGAAATTAAAGTGAAAAAACTATATCAGTTCCAAAAGAGAATTACTGTGACATTGTTCCACGTCATTTTCCGACTTCAAGAGAGGAGGAAACACTGATGTAGAAGAAAAAAACAGTATTTAAGGAAAATTAATTACAATTTACTTTCACGTAAATTTTGAGTAAAAATTTTGTCCATTATTTTACATACGCAGTCAAAGTTTATGTGAACAAATTGGTGGCTGAACAAATTTCACAACTTTTATTATGAGACAATTGAGCATTGCAAAGCTGTCATTACAAAATTACAATTAAAAATTACAAAGAATTAATTAATTTTCATAAGCGAGTCGCTTCAAGTTTACCTTCCATTTCCGTATCTGTAATTTTCAATTATTTTAATAATGCCAACTACTAATGCCACTTGTAAAATAGGCTCGTAAACAAAACTCATTAAGTATTCAAAGTTTAATTTTCACACTGTTTGGTAAATTCAATTTTATTATGAAATGAACTTTCGTATGACGCAAGTTAAAAAATTGATAGTACGAAAAATACTGATACGGGAGGGAATATTAACTAAAATGAATCAAAATGAATCAGGAAACGCAATTACACTACCACCACTGCCATTCCGAGCAGGAAGTACGGCAAAATTGACTGCAAAATAGTTATTTTGCAAAATAGATGAAAACCCCTCAAGGAAAAAATTTCATATCATAATTTCTTCATCCGGATGGATTATCTAACAAGATTGCATTTAGGAAAAATGTTTCTTAATGAAACTAACCAAGAACATGAGATTTACGACTCATATATTTGAACATATTGCCAGGACATGTCACATGATCTTATTTAAAAGTCTATATTATGTGAATTTATTTTATTACATTCAAGTTTATTAAAACACGAAATCTATACAAACTGGAGTAATAAGAGAGGATAAAGTGTGTTGCTGATGATTGTTTTAATTTCCACCAGTAACTGTAGAAGGTCACTTCAAACACATCCAATTGGTAGGCCCTTTCAGCATGATGTAGACAACACCTATTCAGAATGAATCACTCTAAATACCTGTTTATTCATCATTTATTTCGTAGTATATGAATTTTATTTATTGATTTTCCTCCGATTAAATCGTAATAGCGATCATGGGACATTGCTGCTACTGCTGCTGCTTCCGACAAATTCTAGAAGGTATCATGATCCTCTTTTCAAGAGATTTCATTTGCAGGTGATATCTCATAGTTCAATCAGTCATCATTGATAAACAAACTATACTGAATAAACTTAACAGTCCCACCACTTGAGCGATTATGTTTTGAGACTTACTTTTCACTTTTAATTGTCAGTAATTAATGATTTGCAAAAAATGCTAATCAGTAGAAAGCGTACAGTGCAGCCTTAAAAGTGCATTTTTTGTTTTATCCTTTTAAAGTGCTAGAATGAAATAATTAATAATTTGTTCCAAACAGAATAAGAGTAATTCATAAAATATTCAATAGTCTGGATTTAAATAGAGTGGAAATGAGGAAAGGTATGCCAGGTGTAAGTAGTCGTTTTTCTCCTGCAGGTGTAATCAAACAACTTGTATAAAGTAGTCCTAACCAAAGGTGGTCCAAGAAAAAACTGGTCCATTAAAAATAGTTGGCAGGTGTAAGTTAGTTTCACAGTGAATACTTGAAATGTATTGGTCAAGGAAAAACAAATTTCTCTGTACGAAATTTCCCCTCTTCATAAATACAAACTTTTTCATGAGATATTGACGATTTCCGCAAATAATGCATTTTTTTACAAAGTCCTCCTACATAATTTACAGATTCGAGCTTTCACTTCTATTTCTTATTCAAGTTTCCTTTAAATACACTCTAATAGCGATACCCAACCTATATTTTTCTGTCCAGAAAGCCAATTAATACATTAATTTTATTCCCACCTTCCTAATCCGTTAAATTTCAAAATTTCTTTTGTTGAAAAAAAAAAACATTTGTCATTTGCATCTGCAAATATGCGGCCTTATGAGAAATTTGATTCTGATTCAATTTTGAAAAATTATATATTTTAACAATTGTCTTCTAATATTTTAAATTACCCCAACAATGTCATTTTTCAAACGTTCCACACAAAACTCTCAAGTTCTCTAAATGATATACATTTTCAATGATAAGCCGATAATCTGCTAAAAAAATGATGCTAAGCATAAAATGACAAAGCTTGCGAACAGCAAGCATAGAGTTGAAAAAATTAAAAGTACTTTTTGCAGTTTCCCCTTTCTTTGCAGCACTGCTATCTTACACTAAGGAAATCTTCAGAAAGATAAAAGATCTGAAATTGGGTTAGATAAAGTAAAATTTTATTGAAAGCAAATTTCTTGAACTTTTCTGTAAAATGATCATGTTCCAATTGTAACGACCTGTAAAATTATAAATTCAGGTTTTTGAAAAAAAAAAACTGCTTGAATTTTCATTTTTGAGAAAGATGCTCAAAAGTTAATTTAATTCCAATTAGGACTTCTAATTATCAATATCGCAACGTATATCTTTTGTAATAGTCGTAGGCAAAAATTGAAATACTATGCAAATAGATATAAAAATTATAATAAGATTAAGAAACTGTCTTTCTCTTTAGCTCTCTCTCCCGATATTCACTAGCTAAGCCTCACTAGCTAAGCTTCTTTTTCCAATTATTGGAATGATGTGACAATAAGAGGAAGGAGAATGATAACAAAAGAAATTGTATATTCCCTCCCGCCCGAAGAGAAGAGAAACAACGTGGAGAAGGACATCTGTGCTCCTTATGTCGCAGACAAAGACAAAAGTTCTCTCTTTTTTTAAATTGTAGATCTGCGAAAAATTAAAGACGAATAGCAATAATTGTAAAGAAGAATGAGGGAGGTACGGAAATGAAAAGAAGGCTAAAGAAAATAGAAATGAAACGAAGTGAAATTTCTTTCCTCTTCATTTGCTGAACTTGATAAGGTGCGAGATCATCAAAGGACCAGGAAAGGGATGGGAAGAAGTAAAGAAGATTTTAAATGCTAAGTGAAAGGTAGAGTATTATACGAATAGGATTAAGAAGCAATTACTTTTTAAGGCACTTCCTACATAGCAAGATTAGAAAAACTTAATCAAATAAAGTTGGAGAAAAAAAGAATGTCATTTTCTACTTTAGTTGTTGCTGTTGTTGCTGTTGAAAAGAATTTTAAAACTGCAAGTAGATGAATACGCCTTATGGGACGACGACAGCAATTTTCCAATTGCACGATGCTAAATGGCGCATTTGAATGTGTTTGTCTAGGCACATTTTGAATGCCATAAAAATTGAATGGACAGCTGGAAAGTACGACAAGCATGTGACATGGATACAATGGTCAACAAAATTATCAGCTTTTTCTTTGCCTTAGTTTTTTAAAAATTGATTGCTAAAGCCTTACAGTCTAACGTTGTACTGACAAATTACGAAGAATGAAAATCAAAAAGACGATAAGCCATGTGTTGTATTATTGATAAGATGGATTAAAATTTCCTGTAGCTATATCCCAAATAGTCATTCTCATTCAACTCAAATTTTTGATGATATTAGTGCTTATTATTAGCTCTACGCAAGCATACCTATGTCTAGATATTTCTTCGCGAAACGAGACAACAAAGCACATAGATATCATTGAACTGACTCAAATTAGCAAACTTCGAGCTATACTTCAAGAGGCTACTACTAATTGTAGAAATGCTCCATAAAAAAAAAAAAAATAGAGACTGCTCCGCCATCTTTCATCCTTACATCCTCTCTGCACTTACTAAACAGATATTTCAGGATGAGGGAAGTGTCAAATAGATGACCTTCAAATGATTGATAATTGTAAAATGCGCTTATTTCAAATGTTTTCAATAATGACTTCTGAAAAGGACAGATAGTCAATATGCGAATAATGTTTAAAACGTCTTACATTCCTCTCCCTCTTGTTAAACTCTTCTCCGTCCTCTGTACATTCTAATGCATTTCAATTTCTCCCTCACGATTTGTACTTCCTTAAAGTAGTATGCCTATACACATACATAGGAATATAATCCTTGAAACTCACTGACCAAATTTTCATTTCTTTTTAGTTATGTCAGCAAGGAAATTTAATAGCTCCCACTTTCAGTGCTTTTGCCTTAAAAATTAACTTTGGTATGGACAGAATTGATTCACAAAAATAGTAAGCAAAAATGAAAATTCACCGTTAAGCTCACTGTATCAGTGAGAGATTGCAACGTAGCGAACCAAAGAATAAATTATAGAACAGCTCCATCTCGTTATTGGAACTTGTGGACGAATATTTTAATGATGGTATATGATCAGGTTTTTGGGTTTTTGCATGTACGAGTCTGCTCAATAGAAAGCAAATCTTCTTAGCTGTAAAAAATTGAAATCCCACCCAACTTCATTTCGAAGTTCTCAAATTCTTCGAAATCCTACTAGGCTTAGAAATTCAGTTTTTTATTGATTGAGATCCTTGGTAACTTGGAAACTTCGAAACTCTAAAACAGAAAATTTCTAACAGTTCGACCGCAAATACATCTTTTTTGTAACTTTCCTAAAGCAACTTAGTATGAAAAGAATACTTCTTCCTTTTTATTATTTATTGATTTAAAGACTGAATAATGTCGTTACTAGTATTAAAACTGTAATGATCTTAAAGTAGCGTTCTCGAAGCAATTGTGAAACATTTTTATCATTTCCGAAGGCTATGTTACAACATCAAAATACAATAAGTCTAAATGGTCGTATAATATAATGAAGATCTAATTTCTAGAAAAACTTCAAGACTAAGTGCTTTTCGAACAGAAAGAAGTATCACTTTAATGATTCTGCAAAATAAATGGTGAATTTGAACAAGCATAGAGCTCAAGTACCATAAACGATAACACGGGCTAACTAGAAAAGTTCAGTCTATACCATATCAAGATGAATAAAGGATTGCATACAAAATTCCCATCAACGGTGCAGCACATGTTTAACAAATATGTGTTTGCTGTCTTACGTGTTAAATTCCCATTCCGGATAATAATGTTGTCGCATTCGCTCAATCAATCTCTTGACTCGCGGATAATTATCATCCAATATATCCGATATTGGCTGACGAAATGGTAGATAATATGATGCAGCCAAATGTCCAAAAACCGTAAAATCAGACTACAAAGAAGGATTAGCCAATTCCTCAAAATTTTCAAAAATTTAATAACTGATTTGGTGCAATCTTATATTATCCAATTCTCGGGATAAATCTATGAATCAAGCAGTGTTTACATCCTTTAAACAACAACTTGAGGGTATTTTATAATATTATGTTCCATATTTATGTGACTGATGCAGTATTTAACTTCTTTTTTCTGCAGGAGATCATAAAAGGCACAGAACTTTCGAAGCTAATACGTTTGCTTAAAGTTAATCAAAAACTGACATTGGTCATTAATTATATATTAATCACTAATTATAATTTTGGTCTCGTTATTCAAATGAAATCAAAATTTATTTATTTAAACGACGTAACTTTGGAGATCCTAAAGCATTCACGATTTTCATACGGGCAGAACCTGAATAAAAAAATTGTTAACTTGAATAAATCAGATTTTTCAAATGTAACAAATCTGATAATATACATACCGCAGTTGGTTTCACACCAAACAAGAATTTTTTATCGTCTAAGATTACATCAATCGCAGCAATATCTTTCTGTAGCATATTGATAAGATCATTTCGTGAACATTTACTAAGGCCCAAATCCATGAATATCCGACGTACCTGAATTGATTTCGTTCATGAGCCATAACTGTGACAGGTTCTCAGAAAAATGATGGCTAAATAAAAAAAAAAATTAGCGAATTATTTAAAAACCTGTAAATATAGCGATTCGTACTAAATAACCGATGGTGAATGAAGCATACCTCCTAATAAAGCATGAAATAAACCTTTACGTTAACAAAATAACTGCAAATGCAACCTTGCTATGGAAAGGAGATATCGTACCACGAATAAACCATCGCTTAATTAACGATGATTCCAATCCTTGCAGAAATTTAGGCAAATTTTCTACGAATATGAAATAAAGCAACAAGCTAAAAACCACATCCATATTATATATATGTTTATATATATATGTATATGTATATTTTTATATTTAACATATTCATATTTATATATATTTATATATCATCATATGTTTATATATCATATAACACTTCTAAGAGTAAAAAAACAAGACTTACTAATGCGTACTGCGTTCAATCATCTGATCAATAGCCCGCGCAACGCCAATATCAACTCCTCCCAACTCATCCTAAAAATAAAAACCAAACAAAACCAAAGTACCTCAACATTCTTTGTTAATCATAGCATCACTGTAAAATAATTGGGGATACTTGAGAAAATTTCAGTCATAATATTTCAGGTCGTAATTAAAAGATGTGACCAATAAAAATCTCCCTTACACTTAAATTGAAATGCTTCTGCAGTTGCTCCATGATGACCTGTGAATCGGAAATTTTCTTTCCGTTTAATTCCACGAATGGAAAATATCTTTCCCACGGTTGAAAATCCCAGTAACTCCGTAGCTGAAAAGTTTTTTTTTCGTTTTTTAAAAAAAGAATAGCTCCTAACATCCAAATTTTTGAAAAATTATCGACAATTTAATTCTACTGGATCTTTTTCTTGCTGCAGAAATAAAACATTTTCAAATTTTCAAAGAAAGAAATTCAGATGCAGGTGTATTCTACCTCATGTTTCAGTTCTTTTGCTCGTAACCAGGTCTCAATTTTGAAACAAAACGGTGAAATATTGGGAGATGATGAAGCTCGACTGAACTGATACAGATAAATGACATCTTTTTTCCACCTTTTATTATGAATTTTGGAAGTGCTGGAAAATGATAATTATAGAAAGAAAAGTTAGCACAAAACTAAATTCAACGAAAAAAAAAATCTTCTTTCTGGAACTCCCAATTTCCAGTACTTTACAAACGAAAAAGCCATTTAGTCCTAAAAATTTTCGGTACCACACGAACTGATAGATACGCATTAGTTCAAACTACCAAGTAAAATGATAGAACTAAATGACAAAAACCGCTATGGCAATGAAAGACATTGGTTACGTCGGTGAAATGTTCAGTGAAAAAATTTCTCAAAAAGAGATATTTCATGATAACACTGAAGATTATTAATTGATGCCAAATTAGAATGTAAAAAGTAAAGTCAAAACAATCTATCATAGATTACCTAAACTAGAAAAATGGAGTCACTTCAAGCATTACTCATAACGACACATGATTACCTATTTCCAGGAGGAAATTTTGATAGAATAGCTGGAATTCCACGGGACATCACAGTGGCACCACTCGACACTAGGGCTTCATTTATTCTAGCTAATTTAGCTGTTTTACGCAAGCAATTGTTCAACGTTTGCATTTCAACTTTATGTTAGACTAACAACCATCGATCAACCAAACCAACACCACATCTACAATGTCTTCATTTTAAGAGATTTAATAAAACGTGG